TGTGTGTGTGTGCGAACAGGTTTACCTACCCTTATGGGGACATAATGTCCCCAAAATGTGATAAATATCCGGTTTTTTTCCCTTATGGGGACCGGTTTCCTGGTCCCCATAAGGGAAAACTCTATTTTATAAAAATCGGTGACTGCTATGAAAAAACTAAAAATGCAAAAACTCTTGTATTTTGTTAGGTTACTTATGGTTATGGTTAGGGTAGGGTAGGGGTTAAGGTTGTCATAGTTAGCGTTAGCATTTTTCCCATTGAAATGAATGAGTGGTCCCCATAAGGATATGTTTACCCTACATGTGCGAGTGGGTGTGTGTGTGTGAGCGGGTGTGTGTGTGTGTGTGTGTGCGAGCGGGTGTGTGTGTGCTTGGACTACAGATGTTGACTGGAGTTTGGATCATTCCAAGAGCAGCTCATTCCAAGATTGTCTGAATCTGTTAAATGACGTTTCGGCATTTTAACACCTGGATTTCTGTGGGAAACAGTCAGGCTTTATATGGCGTGTAACTTGCACATTTTTGAACAGAACCTAGACAACAGGTCATGAATGAAGTTTTCCGATTTTTGTATATGCAGATATTGCCTTTGAGTGTGAAGGTAGTACTTTTGTTCGTTGTTATAATTACATATCTCATGAATACTGCTTTTCTGTCAATGGATCTGTACGTCTTTATGTTTCTACGTTCATATTCAGGTAATGCATGCTATTCTGTCTTCATTGCATTTGCTGGCATGACATTTAAATGGATATTATCAGAATCTTTCCACGAACTTTGCTTCTCTCACTAAGGCTGAGGCTCAGATTGCAGCAAAGCAGCTGGACAAAGAGTATCTCCCCATTGGAGGTCTTGGAGACTTCAGCAAAGCCTGTGCAGAGCTGGCTTTGGGTCCTGATAGCGAGGTCCTCAAGAGTGGTAGGGTAAGTCTGCTGCTACTATGACAGTATGCCCTACTATATGCCTGCCTGAGTACAGTATACTCATTGTCTCATCTCTCATCTGACCTTTGACCCTTCTCGTGTTCAATTTAGAGCGTTACTGTCCAAAGCATTTCTGGAACAGGGTCATTGAGAGTTGGGGCCAACTTTCTGGTATGTCCATTTCATTTTATCTCAAGTTCACTTTCAAAATTCATTTGTCAGCAAAGACATGCAACTTACAGGCTGGCTGTTCTCCCTTCTAGTCCCGCTTCCACACTGCGACCAGTGATGTTTACCTGCCCAAGCCCTCCTGGGGGAACCACACCCCCATATTCAGAGATGCAGGCTTTCAGCTGAAGGCGTACAGTTACTATGATCCAAAAACGTGTGGCTTTGACTTTAAGGGAGCCCTCGACGACATTTTGGTGAGACGGCCACAGATCTGGGGGTCATGGTGGCAGTTGAGGCTCTTATTATGGGATGCCTCATGGTTTTTCCTGTGATGAAGCGAGATCAGAGATGGGTCTCATATTGCAGCAGCAATTTCGTGACTAGGTGTTTATGGTTTCTGACCATTACTCTTCACTTGTCAGAAAATCCCGCAGAAAAGCATCATCGTGCTGCACGCCTGTGCCCACAATCCCACAGGGGTGGATCCCCGGCCCGAGCAGTGGAAGGAGATTGCTGCCCTGGTGAAGGTCAGGTGTAACACAAGCAAAACAATCTCGTTACCACCCTGCTCCTATGGGGTGCACAGGTTCCTGATAAACCTTGTGGGTCTGGCTTTGTGTTTGGCGTAACAAAAAGACCTAAAGAATTTATCGGATGGAAGGATGTTTACATTTTTATTTATTTGGTAGACTTTTATCAAAAATGACATGCAGTTGAGAAGGTACAGTCCCTAAAGTAATTGATGAAGGGCCCAGTGATGGAATCACTCTGCCTGGGATTTGAACACAGTATCCTAACCTGAGGAGCAATACACTGCCCCCTGAAGTATTAGTAAAGTATTAATAACAAAGTATTAATAAAAAAACAGGCATTATTAAAAAATTACCACTTTCCTTTTTGGTCAATAAATCTACATGGAATATGTCTTGTTTATTTTTTTTTCCGACAATAAGACGACATCGTCTCGGTTTTTCTGATCTCTTTCAGCAAAGGAACCTGCTGGTCTTCTTCGACATGGCGTACCAGGGCTTTGCCAGCGGGGACACCGACCGCGATGCCTGGGCCGTGCGCTACTTCATCGGGCAAGGCCACAACATCCTACTGGCGCAGTCCTTTGCCAAGAACATGGGCCTGTACGGTGAGGACGGTCTTTACGCAAGCAGCTGCCACAGACGTCCCTATAATTCTTTTATTCATATCCTTTGCTATAGAGCTGAGACGTTTTGTTCCTGCAGCATCACAAACAGCTTCTCCTGACCTCTCTGCTATCTAGGCTGCACTGTTTTACGATTTAAAAGTGATTAATCACAAGCACCTTTTCTCTGAGATTCGGACATCACATATCACACGATATATCCATATTTACAGCACTTTGAAACACAGAGCCAGCCTCATGTAGAATTTACAGATTTCACATAAACATACACAATCACCCACACAGTCATACATTATGGGCAACCTGTAGATGCCAGTTAGATTACCTGGATGTCTATGGACTGTGGGAGTACCTGGAAGAAACACACATACAGGGGCAATTCTAGGGGTGAATCTCAATATGAGTACTTGTTCCCGTGCTTGTGCCCGTTTTATGTCATCTTCCAGTGCCGAATACCAAGAACACAAGTAGAGAGGATGGTAAACATCCCTGGATGTCGCTCTTGCCCCAAATATCAAGGACACATCGATTGCATCCTTGCCAAACGAGACCAATCCCATGATTCATTATGGCCCAAGTTCGTTCTTGGAAGGCAAGTTAGCAAGACCGGTCTTGTCAAGACCACAAGTACAGTCTTTGCATTATTGGTATTGAGATTCACCCTAGGATTTTTTTTAAGGTGGGGGGCCATAAGGGAAGCTATAATTCATACAGAGAGGCCAACCTTATCATTAGCCAGAGGTATGTTTTGAATTAGTGAGTGACTGGGGGGGGGGCACTGCAGGAGCCAGTCAGCTTTTAGCTGGGTTTGGTGCTGCGGTGGCCCCGCCCCTGAAGATGCACCAAGCCCACACGCACAGAACAGAGATGGGATCTGCACACGGCTTTCGCTTCTTTTTCTGTATGTGATGCTCTAATGGAGAGTGTTCATCGGCCCCATGTGACAGGAGAGCGTGTGGGCGGGCTCACTGTGGTGTGCAGGGATGCTGAGGAGGCCAAGCGCGTGGAGTCGCAGCTGAAGATCCTCATCCGGCCCATCTACTCGAACCCGCCCATGAACGGGCCCCGCATCGCCGCCACCATTCTGAACACCCCTGAGCTACGCAAGGAGTGGTGAGCAAAACCCCATGGCAATCTCCACCACTCAGCCTGCCCACTCTCTTATTGGTGGACGCAGAGTCACATGTTGAATAGTAACCCACCTTTAGGTGATTGGTAGATTGCCGTGTGGGCGGGGCTAGGAGTGTTCTTCCCTTTAATTTTTTTAATTATGACTTAAATGATCACCTCCTTCGTCTGCTTCGGACCTCTCCCTCACCTCCAGGCTGGCAGAGGTGCACACTATGGCCAACCGCATCATCCAGATGAGGGAGCAGCTGGTAGCTAAGCTCAGAAAGGAGGGCTCCACCAAAAACTGGCAGCATGTCACCGACCAGATTGGCATGTTCTGCTTCACGGGCCTCAAGCCGAACCAGGTATGGCCATGGTGCGGCTGTTTATGGTGGGGAAGGGAGCATCATTAAGATCTATGTTAATATCCAAATTATTAAATCGCTACATCTCAAAAATGGAGTGAAACTCACTGGGGGTGATGTGGCTTCACACAGGTGGAGCGGCTGACTAAGGAATTCTCCATTTATATGACGAAGGACGGTCGTATCTCCATGGCAGGTGTCACCTCAGAAAACATTGGCTACCTGGCACATGCTATCCATGCTGTGACCAAATGAAAGGGTTACGGTTTCCTGTACCCATAATGCAAAGGAATGATGACATCACTGCCGCCAGCCTTTTCTGAAAGCTTCTCTCATGGAATGTAGAACTTTCCAACTGCAATGTCCTGGCATCAGGATATTTTTGCCCATCGTTTGTTTCACTTTTTATTTTCAAAATTTTAGTCAATAATGATTGGTGCATTCAGCCAATGAACATAAACGTAGCTCTTTGCATTCCCTGCAAGATTATCAGAACTGGATTAGAGAAGGTTAAACCAGAACAACTCTGTGGACCTGAATTACAAAATATGGACAGTGACAGTTATAACATTAGTTACATTTTTCTTGATTTAAGGCTACTTTACTTATCATTAAAAGGCATTTAAAATTTTATTCTCAAAGCCATAAAATATTTAACCGCAGTATAATTTATAAATAAGCCGTCTACGTTTCCTTTCCTGGAAAACTATATTTCTCTTTATTGAGCTTTTAATGACAGAGTGCACTTTTAACTGTACGATACAGATTTCAGAACCACTGAAGTGCTGTAGGACTGGTCACAGTGTTTGCTGAAGCAATAATTATTTCTAATTAAGAATTGCAGTGCAATCACTACTAAGGACTTAATGTTTGTGTGCGTTGAAAAATATTTAATTTGAGTGAGCTACACTGGGTCAGTATGTCCGAAATAAAATCTCTGCTTAAACAGGGTGTAGTGATACCATATGTAACACGACCATTACATACACATTCCTGTCTGTGCATATACTTTCACACACAGACGTCCCTTTTTAGGTGAAATCCGGCTACGGCCGTCCTGTAACATTATGCTGGATTTCAGCTCCGAAATCCTCCTTCCTTTATTCTTGGTGTCTGTCAGTGGCAGAAAGCCATTGTATTGATAGTGAGCCTAGACGGTTCATCTCATCAGTGAGTATCATGCTGTCTGTATGTCATATTTATCTCTATTAAAATTATTTATAATCATTAAGCCTTGGTGTGTATTTTTGAAGGAATAATATAAATTTCCTTCAGTGAAGTTCAAAGGTTTTTAATGAAAACCATGACCTCGTGGAACAGATCATTCAGTGCAAATAAGGAGTCCAGTTCATTATTGCAATAATTCAAGATCAGCAACATGAAATTAAATCCCTAAAAAAATTTACTGGATGAATTAGCATTTTTGATGTGTAAAGCTAAAAAGGTATGAAAAAACTTCAAAGTATAGATTTACTGTGACTTGCTTACTAAATGGATTATGTAAAATCAGTCAAATCTGTCATATATTATTTACATAATTACATAAATGATTTACGTAATTATGTAATTAAGTCATATGTCTTGTGCTTTTTACCTCCAGAAATAGTATAGCTGATGAACCATGAAGATTATGATTAAAAACAACACAGTATTGCCCTCAAAATTATTTCACCTCATATCCCTTTTCCAAATGTTCTGTAGTTTGCGTGACACAAAATGCAGCCGCGGCTTCGCAGTTTTTGCCTTAGTGCAGCCTTGGCTTCTAGGCGTCATCAGTCGGCTGGAACAGATTGCAGAAGCTGAGCTGTGTCTTGGAGACCGCCAGCGCGGGGTAGAGCGGCTGGGTGAACGAGTGCTGGGAGCTGTGCAGTAGGGTTAGGTCACCACCCTCGGCGACACTGTAGAAGGACAGGGAGCCCGCTTCCAGATCCAGGAAAAGCCCGACCCTCTGGGGAGTGCTGACCCCGAGGGGGGTGGCCTCCGTGTCGTGCAGGACCTCCACCTTATTCCGCTCCCCAAACAGACACCAGGAGTGGGGGTTGTATCCCAGTCGGCTGCTGTTGTCGGATCCCTTCCGCTCGATCAGGGCCTCGCAAACTCCCACCTTCCAGCGGCCCTCGCTGGAGACCTCAACCTCCCAGTACACACGGCCCGCTTCGTGACACCGGCTGCCCAGCACCTGCGGGAAGACGCTAAAGCGGGCCGCGAGTTCGGGGTACGGCTGCGGCTCCTCGCTGTACGTCACCGTCCTGTTCTTCTCAGACAGCACCAGTTTCGGATGAGCTGTATCTGGGTTCAGAGACGGAATGGTCCCATCTGTGAAAGGAAACGCATGTATGAGGGAGCAAAAACTCAGCACAACGTGGCAGATGCAGTCATCCAATCAGATTCATGAGTGAAAAAAGTAAAGGTCAGTAATCTGGATTAGTGTTCTGGGGCCATGTTCTGTGAAAACCCTACAGCATCGCTTAGAAATGACTTACTATTCAAGCCATACAGTCAGTAATGTAACATTTAACAGGACAAAACAAGGCTCAGTAGATTCATGGTTAGGTGTTGGAGAGGTAAGTATTTATGGTATAAATGTTAAATATAGAGGAGAAATGGCTGTAACACGAGATACGGCTAAATACATTAGAGTAGATAAGAATTTCAATGGGTATTTGAAAAGACCTAATCAAAAAAGAAAGATTAATGTTGTGTCTGTATATGTGGGCATGAGGCAGATTCAGTAAATAACTATTCATATAGATTAGAACCAGAAAGAATTTTATATGTGTGTGTGTGTGAGCGTGCATAATGATAAAGAAATAAATAACACAAATACATAACAAGTTCAATACTACAAGGTGTGTATTAAATGTATTTATATTTGTATTTATAAACCCTCATCGGTGACACATTATGAAAACCACCTTGCAAAGTAGACAAATGAATGATAAATATATGCAATGATGAGATAAATGAGAAATAGCTGAAATAACAAGTGGTCTCACAGAGCAGACGCAGAGCATCCCTGTTGGGCATCGACAGGGTCACCTGGCCGAGCCTCTGCGCCGCCCAGCCCTGTAACTGCTGCAGCCGGTGCCGGTCCACTCCGTCAGGCTCGGAGTCCTCTGCCGGGCCGGGGGCTCCGCTCAGGCTGGGAACGGACCACAAAGCGAAAATGTCTCGTGGCAAAACACCGCAGAATGTTTCTTATAACAGGTGTTTTTTAAGGATGAAGGTTGAAAGCAACAAAATTCTATTGAAAAAGTCATCTGGGCTCAATTTTTTCATTTAAAATTCATGGTGGATTCAAAAATATGTAGCTGGTATTCAATGGTTTATTGTTGATTTCCCTGAATATATAATAAATGTGTGATCCGCAGACATCATAAGCGCTACCTCAAACTGTATCCTCCCGATCGGTGTTCTGGAAAAAACATCTAGGGAATGATTTCTTTGCTGAAAATAGTGTAACGTGACTCTACCAGAAATAATGGAGTAAATGTATTTTTTAAGCAGCATGGAGTCTATTCTAGAATCCACAGGCAGACAGCAGCACAGATGGGATGTCATTTCAACACTGCGAATACATATTAAGCAGAATGACGTCACATTGGGGCGGTCAGTCCTACCTGCTGCACAATAAAACTGAATTATTCCTCTTTCAGTATCACCATAACAGTAGTATCTTATTCTTTGAGTGTTAAGAGTTATGAGTGATTTACTTCACATTTTGTGGGCAGCCAATAAGCCATCGATTAAAATATACATTGTCTTACCTTTTTGTTATCTTGTTGTACTCCTGTTGGAAACCAAAGATAATGTAAAATTGTTATATGTAGTGATTTAACTGTATGTTGATAATCAGGCACAGTTTAAAGAACCATGTGACACTGAAACCCCTCAATTCTCCTTAAAAAAAAACTTTAATAGTATAAGTGAAGTGCATTTGTTAAAGGAGCAATCGGCAGCAATCACACAGTTCTCACATTTATCGTTTAAGCTATTTTTGTACTACGTGGGGATTGTCTTCCTGACACATCCCAAGGATGCCAATAAACCTTCCCATTCTATCCTGCATCCCTGTGGCTCCGTTCACCATCCAAAGGAAACCAATTTGTCCATAGACAACATTGCTGCTGTTCTGTAATTAGATCACCCCGCTCCCTACCGTGATGAATGCCTGGTCTTGTATGCGGGACCTTTCCTTGTCATCCATCAGCTTCTCCAGTCTGCTCGCAGCAAGCTGAACGCCCTTCAGGAGGTCCGTCTGGAGCCTCAGCTGATGCCCGATGCAGCCCATCACCCAGCTCTCCTCCCGGTTCAAGCTCTGCATGGCCTGCAGCTCCTCCAGCTCCAGAGCTTCTCGCATGGCCGCGTACTGCTCCTGCACCCTGCTTCTGGTGCTGCCCAGAAGCAGCTGATGGACCAAAGGAGACGCACAGCACCAATTATCATTTTCATCACTATCCTCACCATCGTCGCATCGCCATGTATGCACATTGAAATCCTTATGCGTATCCTTCAGACTCGTGCCAAATAGACAATAAAAATTACATAAAATGATGGGCACCAAAAAAAAGGACAGTACAATCCCACCATCACAATCAGCCCCTTCATCCAGGTCCCTTCCTGCTTACCTGAACACCCTCCTTCTTCTCTGTGAGCAAATCAACGATGTCTTGCACTGCTATCTCCTGTTCCTGCGCTTTCTTCAGCTGACTTTTCAACTTCTCCTGAAAGTGGAGGTGGAAGCATATTCACTAAAACAGATATTAAGACAGATAGTTGGGCTGCACGATATCTCGATATGTAACATTTCTGCAAATAATATTGCGCTATTCATAAAATAAACAAGGAGATGACAGTACCAGAAATAAACTACAGAAAAGAGAGCCTGTTATTGTCTGCCAACAGAGTGTGTCAAGCTGCTGGTGTGACCACATGTCGTATCACCAGACACGAAGCAGTGCCGACATAGCAGGAAAGGGAGCAAGTAAGGCAGAAGGTCCATACCTTAGAGCATGGAAGAGAAGCAAGACCAGGGCTTTGGAGGAGAAGGAGGAACGTTCGCACTGATGAGGAGACAGGAGGAATGGAGGTGCCAGCAAAAGCAGTTTTCTAGGAGAGTCAGCGTGGGCCATGGACCACTGACATGGCAACACAGCACAGAGGCCAGCGTGGCAGCCATTAGCCTGAGACCCAGCACCTCATGTATCCAAGTCCTTCCCTTCCATCTTGACCTACCCTCAGCTCCTTCTCCGCCTCAGAGACACCGATGCAGGTATGGCCGCGGTGGGCCCCGATCACGGTGCACACGGTGCACACGCAGGTGCCGCAATCACGGCAGAAGATTTTGTTCATCTCCTGGTGCTCCTGGCAGCGCCACTGGGAAATGTCCGCCAGAGGTTCCACCAGCGGGTGGCTCTGGAAGACGGGCGACTCCAGGTGCGGCTGGAGATGCTCCACACACATGGAGGCCCCGCACACCAGGCAGGTCATGGCCGCGGGTCGCCCCTTGGCAGTGGCGGGGCAGTAATGGCAGATCACTGTGGGGCCACTGGGGGTGGCTGAGCTGGCAGGAGAGGCTGAAGATTCAAATGGCCGTTCTTCAGTTTGGTCCAGCAAATGAACAAGAAAAAAGAAGAAATATACCATCAGAAACACAAAGCAAGCATAGTGACTGTACAATTTTCTATAACTACAGATGGCAATCTTACCATCAAATGTAATTGCCATTTTCCTGATAATCTCAATTCTATTAAAGAAAATATATATTTTGCTTTTACTAGATTATAAATATCTTCCTATACCTCTACAACCGTATAATACTTCCTCCAGTTATATATCCATGCACTTATGCTGCACAACTGTATTTTTCTTTTTTCCTTTCTTTTTCTGTATAACTTTCTGCTGCTTATTTATAACATTTATTATCTTTTTCGGTAACAATTTACTTAAGCAGCCACTAATGCTTAGTAATAACTCACTAAGTACATGAACAAATTATGAACAAATATAGTCACTACTTGAGACAAAAGATTCATCATGGTTCATTAATGATGAACAAACATGAAATCAGTATTTCACATGTGTTATTCATTACTTGTTCCTATAGTACTACCTTCAGTGGTTCCTTGAGTAGTTCAGAAAGGTTTACGGAATTAGATACAGTAACAAATAATTTAGTAAATGCGTGAGATAAAACATGCGTCACGATTCATTAATGATGAGTTAACATGAGATCAGTATGTAACAAACTTAGTACGTGGTCAATTAATACATAAGTAATAGAATAATTTGTGTCCCCTCAAGTAAATCGTTACCTCTTATACTGTTTCATTATTTTATTGCTATTACTGTTTTTATTAAGGCGGAGTTCACCACCTCTAATTTCCTTAATGCAAGTTATAGTCTGACTCTATACAATACCTTTGCGAGTGACAAAAATAATTGAATCCTTAAGCAAATGTTCCAACGGAACAATTAACTTCGGGATGTAATGGTAAGTTGATATATAGCCAAAAGGAGAGCAGTTTAAATGTGCCCCCGTTCCTATGTATAAGTACCTGTAACGTTGCGCTGCGGATCCTCGTCCTCGATCGCAAACGCGGGTAGCTTCCTGTACTCGTCCCTGCACTCCGGACAGTAGTAGGGGCCCGTCGGGGAGCAGCTCCATAACTCCTGGATGCAGTCTTTACAGAAACGGTGCCCGCACCTGAGCGTGCTGGGCTCCCTACAGTTATGGCCACACACGGGGCACTTCGGGGACGGAACGTCAGCCGGAGTTTCCATTGAAGCCCCCATTCCAGCCATTACTTGTACTGCTGGGCAGATCAAACCGAAAGAGAGTGAAAGTGGAGGTGGAGCCTAATTTTAAACGACGATACATATATTTTCTTAAAGATACAACACGGAATAAACCGCGTGCAGGATCTTCAATACACGATGGAAAGAATAAGGCGTGCAATTATTTTTAAAACTATACTTATTTTAACATATTCTTTAAAACGGCCACAAGTGGCCTAATGCATGTCGTTTGACTGTGGGAGGAATCCCACACTACATGGGGGGAATATCGAAGATCCAATGCAAGGTCCATAGAAGCGGGATTTTAACGCCCCAGATGTCAGGGTTTGAGACAAATGTGTTGCGAGACTCCAACCACCTTATTTATGCTCAGTGTTTTCCATACCAGCGTGACATATATCACTTATAATCCTCCCATTACTTTATGTCAGGTTCCTCCACACAGCCCAGCGAAAACCGGTTAAAGAAACTCCCTAAGTCTCTAAAAACGTATGATTAGGTGAACAGGTGTTAACATCGATTGTGATTGTGATTATGTGCCCTACGACGGCAAGGCATGCTGTCCAAGATCAGACTTGCGTTTAGAATAATATCCCACATTGTGTGTGCGCGATGAACTGGCATGCTGTCAGGTGCACTGTGCTCAGTGCTGCCACCACTCTGCCTTTCGCTGCTTTTTGTTCTTCTTGCTGTCCAAGTGACCAGACAGAGCTTCACACAGCTTCAGTTCTGTTGAGACCAGAGCCGTGGGTGGAACGATCTAACACTGTAAGTGTTCCATCTGCAAAGTTCCATTCATTTCTTTGCGATTTTCCTGAAGGTGTGCCACGGTGAATCAAAAACTGATTACGTTTCTCAGTATCCATTGTTCCACCAGTTTTGACTGGGTCCTCTACCATTTATGAAATACATCCCAGACAATGAAAAGTCACCACTATGCTTCACAGAAAGCTGCAGACGGGGATCAATGTACTTCTTGCCAACTTGTGTTCATCATGAACAAAATATTTAAAATTTGTGTTTGCTTCGTAAAACACTTCACCATTGTTTGTCACTCCAGGCTTTATGATCCTTCAGATATTACAATCACTTCTGATAGTCACATTTCTGAACTACAACATGTCCTACAAGATCACAGAAATCATGTTTGCAGCATATACTTTGGTGCCAGAGGACTGGATTTCCATCTGTCCCTTAAAGAAGTGAAGTGCTGACAGCTTTTTGGGTCTTCATCTACTTCTGCTTCCTTCTTCATCCATACATCCATCCATCCATCAGCTTCTTCAAATTTCATTATGCCGTCTGACAAAACATCTTGGAAATCCAGTTTGGCATACTGCTGCTCACTGGCGATAGACTTGTTGATTTTCTCATGTCTGGCAAAGTGTGCCAGCTTACGCGTGTAAAATCATCTCCTCGAGTCATCCTAGTATTTCCAGTTATCATCTATTTATGCCCAGGCACATGCAGGGGTGTGGGGGGTGGAGGTGACAGAGCACCTACCTCTTTGCCTGAACTATTTAAAATGTCTCCTTTTTTACTGAATGCCTCTTAAATATGTGTCAAAGGCTGAACTTGTGCCCCTCAATATGTCGATCCCTGCAGGGTACTGAATATACCCTTGTAGGCTATTTGGTGTACTCAATGCACCACTAGCACAACTTTTTTCAAGTGGTGTAACTTTTGCAGAAATTCTTGTCACTTTTTATTGTGTTACTGTTTATGTCTATATAATCTAATGTTCAAACAGATGTAAACAGATTTAAACATTTTCTTTGTCGGCTTAAAACTTTTACACAGTAGGCCTACTGTGTATGTGCGTATTACGGAAGAGGATTAGGGCCACCATGAAAATATTATTTGAATTCTGACTATATATATATATATATTGTATTATATAATATATATAATATATATAATTGTATATATATATATAGAGGAACCTTAAGTCTGAGATACAGATTTGACACATCGTATAAGGTAACCACAATTATTTTAAAGAAGCTGTCCACAAAATTTTGGACGACCAGTTTCAACGTAAATTTTATTAACGTTAATAAAATATCTGATTGTCATGAATTCAATGAGCACTTCCAACATAATTAGTGGGGACAAACTTTCACAAAGACCTGTTGAACACGATAAAGATGTTCGTTAGGATCCATAAACGAATAGCGAATTATGAAAATGTGAAAATGAAATCACTTTTCAACATGTTAAATCGCACATAAAATGTGTCAAATCAAATCTCCAGATTATTTTATATAATTGCAATCCCTTGGTTTTAACTAAAACATTACGATAGTTGCGCTATGTTAAACACATACAATCTTTTGTTTTATTTGTAAATGATATTGCGATGTCGCGAGCTCGAGCTCAAGAAGATGGCGCTGTGAGGGCGCGCGAGACTTCCGTCGCCATTTTGTAGCGCAAACCAAACTGAATAGGACTGAAAGCTACGTTAATTTTGATAACACTTGGGGAGTGGTAAAGCCTATAGAAATGAACTGCAGATAAAATCAGAAGCAAGGTAACCAAAGCATAAACGCGCTCTATATATGAATGGCTATAGGTTAAACGAACAGTGGTTATAACTGTAGTTGATTACTGTGAGACCCGTTTTATTTCTAGCCGAGCTAGCTGGATCCTAGGCTGTGACTGAAACTCACGTTAGCTCTATTATGTTTTCTTTGCGATTTCTTTAAAAAGCGTGATGTACTGATATTCGCGCGGGACGAAAAGTACTTTTATATATGGTTACAGGTCTAATATTGCTTACTTTGCAGTGGAAATGCATCGTTTGACTGATCTGCTACATGAATGGGCAGCTAACCGGCCGCATTCGCTTGGCACAGGAGCCTCTGGTTAGCAAGTTAGCTAGCGCGTTTTGGGCATGTCGTTAGCTGGCTAGCCAGTTTCGCGTGGCAACAAAGCGAAAGCTGGACAAGAAGTGGGGAGTTAATGGGTTTTAAAGCTGAGGCCACTGCTGATTAGAGTAGTACATTGTGTATTTCATACATGGGCTATCATATTGCGACGTTAAATCCTTCTCGCTAACATTGATTCGGTGGGACATTGCTAGTAGGTAGCTAGCCAGCTAACCCGGGGTTGGTTAGCTACATTAGCATCACTGGATGGAGGCTTTTCGTATATCGCTTCAATTATATAATATTAATATTCTCCTGTGTCATAAAAACGTTTTGCCTCGTTTGCTTCTTGGTGGCCGTACTGACATTAAGAGCCCGTGTGTGCAGCTGCGGCGTTACGCACTTCTAATCGGCGTGTCCATCAGCTTGACCCGTTAGCTCGGCTGGCTACGCTCACCTCGTTTTGTGGGCTTTTGGAAATGTATTGAGGAAAAAGTAGGGAGAGTATTTACAAAAAACACCAAAGGGTATTTGTTCTGTCGGTGAGTTGGTTATTTCGTAACCCTTATGAATCTAAATTTGTTTCAATTGAGCTGCAAATAAATGCGTGGAGAGTTTGCGTAAATTGGCAATCGCTCCACCAAGCCATGCATTTCCATTAGACTTCCAGATTTATGCATTTTAATTGCAGATTGTTTGTGGCTTGATACAGATGGATAGTCAAAGTGGAACATCTATGTATTTTTATTACTAGTGAGCAAATTAGTCATCTATCTGGTGTCCATCGATGTATAGTATAGCTAATTTGGTAAATAAGCTACCATTTTGACTTTTAAATGGGCCTATTGTTCTGCAGGGATTTAAGATGAATATTTACCAGGGAAATGATGGTTGTTTTACTTAACCCAATTTGTATCCGTGGTATTATATACCCTGAGAAATTACGTATCTGGCTTGTTCGAGGAAGTTAGCTAATCGTACCATGTTCGTGTTGTCAAGGCAATGCGATGAGGTGGGTGATCGGCTAGCATGCTAACCACATAGCAGTATTGATTATTGCTGTCTATAGTAAACTACACACTTCTTTCTGAATTCAGCGTTCACGAAGTGATAATGTTGTAGATAGATTTTTGGTGGATAAAGATGATCAAGAAATTTATTGACGAGGTTGGTCGGCGTTCGAGGTAGTGCTACAATACTACTGGCAGTGTGTATATGGTGCCACATATGGCCTATACGAAAGGCTTCAAGAAGTCACCAGCACCAAATGGTAATATTTTAACTTGAAGGCCATTTTAAGAAAACCGTGTATTTTTGGTAAGTCAATTGGACAACATAGCAGGCCCCGAGGCCTAGGTCTGTAACTAGTGGAGAAGAGAGTAAATTCAGTTCCGTGCTATGATGGGAGCAGTCTAAATGTTCACTGACGTCTTTACTTCGACAATACTTAAAATATTTTTAATCAATGGTAATGTGTTTCTGCGGTGATAGTTATTTCTTGTTCACGTGGAGATACTGTTTCACGTTATTTTGTATTTGTTGTTGATCGTATCAGTTGTGCATCGATGTTGTTTTTACTTTTCGTGTGGCTGTGTAGTTTGTAAAAATATTGCTGTCCCTTTCAACATGGCAAATTTACATAAGCGTTCTGCTTAGTGTGTTGATATATTTAAGGTGGTTGTCTTTTTTGAGATTCTGAACACGTCATTAGGAGATGCTCGTGGAGTGAGTTACAAAATGCGTTTTGCTTTGTCTAACACTCAAACTTCTGTTATCTTCCTTTTGTAGATTCCAAACTTGATGTTGGATTGAGGGATTTAACATCAATCAAGAAAAGCAGAACCAAAAACTATTAATATACCTGATTTTTACACACTGGGGGGAAAAGCAGAATTAACCTATCTCTGAGGTGACTAAAGGGGAATAATGGTGATTTTGCGCCGGGCTCGGCCACCTGCTTCCGCCCCGACCAGCAATGAATCTTGACTCGCTTTCGCTGGCTTTGTCTCAAATCAGCTATCTAGTGGACAATTTAACTAAGAAAAACTATAGAGCCAGCCAGCAGGAAATACAGCATGTAAGTTCCAATTTTCTCTCCTGGGATCAATAAAGTACCATCTCATCTCTCTCTCGAGTACCAGGCATTTGAAAGTTTGCACCAGTAAGC